ATAAATATATGAAACAAAATTCACGGCCATTTAGTTGATTCTGACTCATAGTGATCCTAATGGGTCTCTGAATTGGTAAATCTTTATGGGAGTGGATTGCCCCATCTTCCTTCTGCAGAGCGGCTGGTGGGTTTGAACTGCCAACCTTCTGGTTAACAGTCAAATGCCTTAGGCACTGGGCCATCAGAGTTATATATAAACACACATTTAATATTCTGAGAATATTGAATTAGATATGATTACACACATTCCATAACCATTCTGGACAATCTACAACTCTCCTTACTTGAATTCTATCAACTTTGGATCATTTTCACTTGGTAATTTAACTCCTTATAGAAATTTTTCTCCTGAAAGTAATGTACTAACTAATGACAGGATGATTGTGTGCATATATGTCTACCAAATTCATTTTCTACAACTTATTCTAGTGCTGTATGGATTAAGTCAACATGAGCTAATCTATAAGAGACTGGAAACTTACAGAACAAAGTTTGCTGTTTGCCAATATGAGAATTTGATAGGATGGTCCAAGAAAATGATACCTTGGAAATCTCTACCTGATCCTGCTCTTACTAGGCACTCTTAGACTGATACCATGATGTCAGCTAATATCTTCCTAACTAGATTTTTTTCTGATCTCAGACCTCTGTACTCATCTATGTGAAGTATCAAGTGCTAGCCTGTTAGAACAGCACTTTGGATGTCTCCTTCATCATGCATGTATACATGCATGTGCAAGTACACACATGCATAAGTGCACAAATAAATGCACACAAATTTTAAGGTACTTGACTGAAACATTTAGGTATAAGCAATGGTTGACATACGATTAAAATTTTGGCTCATGTCAGCTAAACAGAAGAAAAGGCAGATCCAAACATGTTCATCAATAGAAAAGTTAAGAAAAGAAGCACTGACAAGAGAGGGAGGCATACCTCTGCTCTCATGGTGGGGCAAGGAATAGAGTACACAAACAAAACAAAGAAAATGAAAATCATGGGTAAGTCACTCCAACATACAATCACCAATTAAATATAAGCACAAAAACATCACAATGCCTTGGAGACAACAGAGCATCACAGTGCACACAAAGAAACAAGATAAAGCAGGAGATACAAGGGACCAGGATACAGACCCAAAACACATCCCTGAGGAAGACACAACATTGGAACTCCCTGATAAAGAATTCAGAAGAAATATATTTAGGTATCTTCAATGAATTGAGAGGCAGATCAAAGAAAACACTGACAAAATTGAAGAATACTCAGA